ATTAGTCCCAGCACAGGACAATAATTTCACTCAATTTCTTTTTCCAAACAGAGTTCAACGTTGTTTCCTTCAGGAAGTCTTTTCTGGCTTACTCTTTCCATCTGATTGCTTCTTATTACTGTAGCCATCGTTTAGAATGTTTATTGGATGGGTTTGTATACTGCTCTGTGTTTTTGAATCAACATGTGGGTGCATGTGAGTGTGCAATGTAGGCTTCCTGTCTGCTTCTCAGCTCTCAGGGGTTATCCACACACGTATATGCTGTGTCTATATCTGCACATGTGCATGTCACCATGTGTACCGTATATTTACATACAATAGTTTACTATGGTCTAAACACTGGACTAAGTGCTTTACAGTACAACAAAGTAGATTTTATTATTATCCACATTGTACATATAAGAAAACTGAAGTGTAGAGAGATAAGTAAATTGTCCAGGGTCACTCAGCTGAGCTGGTGTGAGGCCAGGCTTGGGCCCTGTCTGATCTTGCTCTGGACTCTAACACCCACCTCTGAAAGCGACTCAGATGCCTCAGGAGGGCCCTAGTCTTCAAGTCAGACCATTAACTCCTTCATTGCTGACATAGGTAGGGGCAGTGGGTAGGGAATAGGGTGAGGATGGTGACGCAGACAAAGATGAAAACTAAGTTCTGTCTTATCTGCCCTGAGGCACTGTTTGCCTGCCACATGCGAGACTGGTCCAGGTGCTGACAGGGTACAGATATGACACATCCTTGACTTTAAGGAGCAGCCCTGGGTTGGAGGGACACTCCCCAGGCTGCTGTTGTATGTGAGGTCTGCCCAATCTCCTGTTGGCCCTGGGCCCCTGAGCCATCTTCACACACCCAGGTGAACTTCAGTTCAGAGCTTTTCAGTTGCAGGCTCAAGTGAATTACAGCAGAACAGAGCCCATGTGCTAGGCACGTGGAAACTCTCAGAGCTGATGGCTTTATAACCTTGCCAAGGGCCGGGGGAGGAAACACATGCCAGAGATGTGCAGCAGCTCTTGGAAGAGTACGCAGGGACAGAAAGCCTTCCCAGCCACGTGCTTTAAGGTAGTCTTTAGTGTCGGAACCCAGAGGCTTGCTCAGAGCTGATCCAAACACAGTGCCTAGCAGTGTGTCTGGCACACAGCATGCTACAAATGCTAATTGTCACTATTAGTCCCGCTTGTCACACATGAAAATGTGACTCATCTATAAAACTGTTTATGAACTTTCTTGAATTGTGGAAAGCTGTTCCATCCCATTCTAACATTCTTGCAGGATTTCTTAGTCAATCTACTTTTTAAAAGTAAAGTTTATTACATACCTTTTAAGGGCTAGGCACTTATGCATATTAATATACAATCCCACTGAGTTATCTCTCTGGGAAAAGCACTAATATTTCCCCCATTTCACAAAGGAAGAAATTGTCGGAGAGTTTCCCCATGTCAGTCGTCACGGAAGTTAAGCAGCTTGACTAAGTTCCACCACTTTGGCGGAAAGTGTCTTGCTTGTCTGATTCCAAAGCTTGTGCTCTGAACTATGACACTAGAACGTCTAGAATCTGGTGGCCTTCCTGAGCCCAGATACAGGCCAGTTCTGAAGCTGAAAAGCTGCTGTTCTTGTTCTCATCCTCCCGAGCCTGGCTCTGCCACATCCGTGTTCCATGATGTCCCCTGACCAGAAGGTTTTCCTTACCTGATCCACACATCTGCCAACAAGGAAACTTACAGTGAGCAAAACATAGCTGTTTCTCTCCAATAATCAACACAAGAGTTGTTAAGTTTGCAATAAATTATTTTGCCTTATCCTCGCATGGCATCTGACTACTTTCAGATACGTGGGTTCGCTTTGTACTCACAACTCTGAGATATAGGAACGATTATTTTCATTTCACGGCTGTAAGAACTGAGAGCTCACAGAGGAGCTGTGTCTTGCCAAGTTTTCACAGATAGAAATGGGGGAGCTGGGGCCAGGACCTAGCTCTGCTGACACCAAGCTCAGAGTTCATGCTGTCTCACAGGGCTCCATCCGGTGGGTGGATGACCTTGACTCTGAGCCCTGGGGCTTCCCACTGCTTCCTTCAGGCAGGAGGAAGAAAGACTCAGAGGTCAGTGCTGAGTCCAGCCCCCTGTGTCCTGGTAGCCACACACTTCCACTTGGTTCTGCTCCTGCCTGATAATCTCTTCTCCAGGGAGCAAAGAACACATCATCCAAGGGGACAGACACTGCCTTTCTGTCCTCCACTCCCAGCTCTTGAGCAGATCCTCCTCTTGCAATGCATATGGTGATGGGAGAGTGCTGAGACTTTCAGGAGGAAGACACCTGTGTTTCACTGGAATAGAAGGCTGTTTGGTTGTGGCCAATGTCCCCCATGGTAGGTTCTCCATTAGCAGGAGAGCAGACCTAGGGGACTCTGCTGGTCTTGCTGGGGGCAGGAGAGATCAGAGGAACAGGCTGGGGATATAAAGGACAGTTGGGCATCCCCTCTGCCCCCCGCCACCCAGCTCTGTCTCCTGCTGAGACGGCCTGAGCCTGGCCAGGAGGGCCGCCTGGTGTGGCAGGGAGGACAAGTGGTGTGCTTCCTTTGGAGGGCTGGGAAGGTCTCCAGGGGAGCCCTGCCCACTCTGAGCTTTTGAAGAACCCAGCAGAAAAATCTCAGTGAGGCACATGTTAAAGGTTTGCGGGACATGCAGCTTTTGCTTGGCAGAGCACAGTGGGCAGTTTGGAGCTGCTTTCTCCTGGGGCTGTGTCCTGGTGACCCCGGAGGCCTCTGGGGAGGCCGGGTGGGTCTGACTGCCGGAGCTCCCCCCGCCAGTGGGAGCAGAGCCTGACCTGCGGAAACCACCGTGTGCAGTGGTTGTTTTTGGACGCCTCCGGGGCTGCTCAGCCAAACCGATACCCCTCTGATTGTGTGAAAACATTGGCTCCCACGCTGGGGCTCCAGCATTTCCGCCTAGAGCAGATTTTGCCTTTGGGAAGGCGGTTGGTAATCAGGGATGAGGAGGCCTCCTCTTACCTACAGGGAAGAGAAGGGAGGGGAGCAACCCGCATGGAAATGAGGAGACCTTGGCCTGGTCCTCCTCCCTGGGAGAGTCTTCCCTCATCCCTCAGAGGGTCTTCCGTCTAGGCCACCTGTGAGAGCCACAGATGTTTCTTTCCATGTCCCACGTGTCTGGAGTGCTGGGAGTAGGTCTCTAGGACTCTCTTTGCTGGTAGCTGCTCACAGACAAAACCCTCCCGGGGAGCCTCCCTCTCCTCTCCTCTTCCTTTACCCAGAACCTGCAGGTCCTAAGAGGAGGGGCCCCCAGGAGCTATTTGTAGGGAGGCCCAGTACAATCAAGGCCCCTGGCTTTGGAGCCCAGCAAAAACCCAGGTCAATGGGAGGTGCAAGGGCCCCCTACCTCCCTTTCCAGGCCTTTATCTCACCAACTATCTCAGCACAGAATGTTCTAGTTGGTGTTTATTGAACATAAATCTTTATTCCAATAGCAGTAGCTTTGATAGAAGAAAAACAGGGCACATTTCATCATGCTTTCCCCTGATTGAATAGCTCTCGTGCCAAAGCTCCCTACGTTTCTAATTTGCCCTATTTTGGATGGGGTCACGGTGGGGGAGACAGCGAGCCTTACAGAGGGAATGAATATGGCCATTCGCTTTTTTCTCTGATGGACAATTTGGTCCTGTTCTCTTGAAAACCAGAGTAGGCATTTCATACTCGGGGGGGAGAAGGGATGGATGGGAGAATAGGATTTCTGTGTCAATGTAAGTGTTCTGTCTGGGGAAAAAAATTGTGGTTTCATGGAAAATACCAAGTGAAAGTTTGGGAGAAAGGCGGGGTAGCGTGAGGCTGGGTGGAGCCCTCTCCAGCCTGAGGCCTTGGGTCTGTCACCTTCACCTTTCTCTCTAGGATGTTCTCGGTATGGTCAGTGGTGATGAGCACATTAAAAAAAGCCCTGCACAGTCCCTGGGACATTGACTTTCTTGGAGGAAAAGGGATGCTGGGGAAGGTGAGAGGACACATCCTCCTTCTCCTCCTCCTTCCCTTCCCTTCCCCTGCCCCACACCCCCCTCTGCTCCTCTCTCTGTCCCTTGTTTCATTTTCCCTGTTAGGGAGGAACAGAAAGCCGCAGCCTCTCTGGCTGGGCCTGCCCCTCCCTTGCGTCTTCCCAGGTTCTGTGAGCTGATTCTCACTATTCCTCTATTCTGTTTGTTTTTCCTCCCCCACCTTCTTCTCTACGGGTCCTATGGCTATTGATCCCTTGTGGAAATCAACCATTCAAGAATGAAAAAGTTGTTGGAAGTTCTTCTCCCACAGGTCTCTGCCCTCCCTGGCTGTTGGGCCAGTGCAGCCGCCATTGGAAGTCGCTGCTGTGGCTGTTAGTGGGTGGCAAGAGTGTTGGGGGCCCTAATGTTTTCTTGGGGTAATGAAGTCTCTCTGCAGGAAGCCACTGAGGGATAAACTGAGGAGCAGCCATTAATACCAAGGCAATCTTAACATGAAATCAGATCTACCGCGACAGGCCTCCTGAGATTATTCTGTTACAGCTCTTCCAGACAGCAGATCTCCCCTAAAAATAAGCAGCCTCACAGGTCTCTGGTGCAAGCCTCCTCCTGTCTGTAGAGTCCCCCCAGGCTGCAGCCTGGGCCTCTAATGCAGCCCCGGGCAGCCTGAAGCCCAGTGGTGATCTGAGGAACCTCGGCTCACTTCCCCAAGTGAAGCAATCAGGCTCACAGGCCCTGTTGTGGGCTCGTAATCCGGGGATTAGGTGCTTTGGCTCTGGAATGCAGAACACAATTGCGATCCGTAGACTTCCCTTCCTAATCATGTTGGCTTAGGCTAATATCTGAAACCACTCAGCCTTCTCTGAAGTTGCAGTGCTGGCTGGGGGTGGGGTAGGGTTACCAGTGGGCCTTAGAGGGAGCCAGGGCCGGCTGGGGACAATTCACCACATCTTCCTGAGACTCACTGCTGGTCTTACTGAGAAAAATGACTCGAGTACCGGCACGCGGGATGCTTCCAAAAATTTAATAAATAATGATTTTTTAAAACTGTATAAACTATAAATTACCATGCAGTCCTTATAATTTAAAATAATTTACAGGTTGAGGTAGGGAGGGGCCCAGGAGGGTGTGGCGGGGGGTGGGGCGGGCGTGTGGGCGGGTCAGAGGTCAGGCCCTTCTCGCCGTCTTCCTGCTGAGCACACACACGCAGGCCGTGTCGATCCTGATGAACCGCCAGGCGGCCTGCTTGCCATCCATGGTCAGCGCCTTGACGAAGGTGTGAGTGGTGGTGCAGTAGGAGTTCCAATGCTTTGAGTCGATGCCCCGGCACCCACTGTCCACGGGATTGGGGTCTCGGCACTTGGTCTCGAAAAAGTACTGTTTGAACACACTGTTGTTGATATTCACCTCTCCCAACACCATCACCTCCTTGCCCTTGATGTCCGTGGCGGTGGTCTTATCCCCAACCCACACGCTGACGCTGTCGCACACCGAGAACTCCCCCCTGTGGAAGACGGGGTGGGGCGCTGACCGCTTGCCCCTGTGAGTCCTGTTGGAGGGGGCTGCACCGCCGACCTCCAGGTCCAGATCCTGGACTTCAGGCGAGTCTGAGGCTTCAGGTGGCGGCTGTGTGCTGAACAGCACGCGGGGTGAACGCAGTCGCCGCTTCTTGAAAAGTTTGGGGTCCACCGTGATGTTGTGGCTCTGCCCTGCCACCCGCGCTGCTATCGCCCCCGCAGGGGTGCTGCGGGCTCTGCGGAGGGCTGTGTCAAGGGAATGCTGAAGCTTAGTCCAGTGGGCTTGGGGGATGGTGTGTCCTGCTGGGACATTGCTCTCGGAGTATGGCTCTGCCTGTATGCCGATCAGAAAAGCTGTAATCAGAGTGTAGAACAACATGGACATTACGCTGCGCACCTGGAATGAGAAAGAGATGGGCATTACTCCGTGGAGCGCTAAGCGTTTGCAAATGGCGGTTGCTGGCTCCCTCAGAGTTGACTTCCCCAGAGAATCGCCAGGCTTCACCTGCTAGTCTGTGGGTAAAACGACCACAGAATTTATCATTCAAACTGGGGCAACTTTTGAGAGTGAAAGGGGGTGCTAGCAATACTGATAATGGGGCAACAGGCACAAACCAAGACTGCTCAGACAATCTGGGTGTAGGGTCACCTCATCTATGGGCTGGGCTTTTCCAGGAAGGGACAGAGACCCGGAAATTCTGCCCAGTGGCTTGGTATGAACTCGGAATCGTCCACTGAGTTCTATGACTGCCAGCAGTGGCAGCTGAGGGAGGTGGTGTGTCCAACATCTCTGCCCAGTGCTCATGCCTTGTTGGGATGGTGTGGGTCCTGCCAAACAGCTTCAAATCCCTGAGAAGGCTCCAGGAAGAGCAGAGGGGACACATCTCAAAGCTTCAGTGCTGGGACAGTAGAAATCCTTATCACGCATCCATAGAGCATCGGGTTTGGCAGAAAATATGTGACTCAGGGACCATCTCGGTCCACGCATCATTCAGCCAACAACTACCCATATGCGCATGATACAGATGATGATTCCTCCTTGGGTGACATTTTTACACTTTCCAGATGTGCTAACTTCTGTCTTCTCATTAGACTGGAGTTAGGTTAGGATTTATTATCTTTCTTTCTCATATAAGGAAACTGATTCACAGAAAATTAACTGACCCTAAAACATTAAAGTCACAAATAAAAACCCAATCAGAAATAGAACCTAAAGTTGACCCCTTACTAATCCCTCTGTGCCTCCAAGCACCCACTTCCCTTTCTCTTTCATTCTTAAACATCTTTCCTTTTTACTATTTTGTAAGTTTGTTCTTACAAATGGTATCAACCTACTTATCCCCAAGAGGGCTCCCCAGTGTGCTGCAGTTACCTTACAGCGACCCCACAATGACCTGCCACCCCCTATGAGGTAATTGTCTAATTAGTTCTGCCCCTGCCCTTCCCCTGCTTCTGCTGCGCTCCTCTGCACACCTGTAAATCTGCAGCAAATGTCACCGCCTTCTGTGTAGGATTAGCGGCATCCCAATTAGTGTTCTCCAGACTTCCATTTCTCTCCTTTCTCCCGTCTCTCCTCCCGTTCTCACAGGTCATTCTGCTCCCTATCCACTTTTCCAGCCTGGCACAGATGCTGCCAAAGCCTTTTCAGATCACTCCAATTAAAAGAGACCTCTTCTCACTTCGAAGTTCAGAATAGGAAATTTGTGAATATGTGCGTCCTCTCCTGCTAAGTCAGTGCAAAGAATGGGGTCTGGAGTTAGAGAACTTTGTTTGGGGTCCTGCTCAAGTACTTGTTAGCCGAAGGAAGCCACCTAATTTGTTAACTCTGAGCCTTAGTTTTCATGGTGATAAAGGTTTGGCAATAAATGCTATTTCCCAGAGTTGTCAGGATTAAGTGGGTGCTCACAGAATCTGTATTAATCATGAACTATTCCTGTCTTCTTGTGGTCAAGTTCTGCCAGTTTTACCTCTGTCAGACTCCTTTCCAAACCACTATCATTGCCCTCCCTCTGGCTGTTCGGTCCTGGAGGGCACAGCGGTGTCTCATCACCCGAGTGTCTTGTCACTGCACCCCACCCCACGCTCTCCTTTGTCGTCCTGGGCAGTGTGTGCACAGCCTCTGTCCTCTCCTAGTGCTGCGGATAATCATCCACATGTGTCTGTGTCCCTGAGAATGCTTTAGAAGCTATGTGGTTTGTGTTTCAGTATTTCCAGGGCCATGTGCAGTGTCTGGGATGTATAGGAGATACTCAGAAAATATAAGGAGAATGAATGAATGAGTGAGTGAGAGTGGCTAGGAAGCTTGCAAGCTGCCTTTCCCCACCGTGGTACGTGGTTTCTTTTGGATTTTGTGCATATGGTTACATGCTGCTTTTCTAATCTACTTTAAAGCAGCAATACATTCTTTTCCCTGATACTGTGCTGTTATTCAGCTGGAAATAGGCAGCTCCTTGGTGCGATATCAAGAAGGAAACCACCAAATTCTTTTCTCTTTAACCAAAGAATGTTGAAGAATGTTTCTGTCTGCTCCAGTCTCCAGCTGACCCTGCAGGAGGGGCAGGGCCATATCTGGGCTTTTGACCATCGCCAGTTCTGTTGGCTAAGGGTCTTGCAGATAAACGTCCTGACAACTCTTCTGGAACTCAATATACAGTTGGCAACAAATCCAAGCTCTTTATTTTTGATCCTTGTTTCTTTTTTTTTTTCTTCTTCTCAGTACACAATTATCTTTCATCAGGTAAAGGAGAAGAAATACAACTAAAATTCATCTCTTGTTAGAATTAGTAACACTTGTTACAATTTGGACAGGAAAATGAAAACAATTGACTAAAATTTAGGGTTTGGGTGGAGATAAAGGACACATCCTCCCTATTCCCCATCAGCAGAAGTTCCTGCCCTATCTTACAATCTCTCCTTCTGGTGAGCTCATCTTCTTCTAGGGAGTCCACCGACATTTCTGTGCCATTGATGTCCATGCCTGGATCATGGAAATCAACTGGATCAGCTCAACTGCTTTTTTGAAGCCAGTTTTGAACCTCCAAACTCCTGAGAGCAATCTCCAGATGCACCGGCATTTTAAATGCAAGGCATCCAAAACAAGAGTCTTCGTGCTCGAAGTCCTCACTGGGCTCACCTGCTCCTCCTGGGTATTCAGTAGCAGCAGCCCCATTTTGGACAGGATGACCTGCACAGGGCTTGCACAGCTACTGTTGCTTTTGGTCTGTTCTCCCATCCTCCTCAGTATGCTTCCCTGAAGTTTCCTTTTTCCATTACTGGAAGCATTATTCCTTTCCCACCAGCTCCAAACCTCTGCTCACCCCTGGACTCTGCTCCAGCCCTTCTAGTTCTGCTTTGGCAGCATTCTCTTGAAACTGCCATTTCCTTCCTCTTCCACCTCTGGGTCTCAGGTTTAGGTCACAGGAACAGACTCCTACGTGATATTCTGGACCTTTATCTCTCCTGCTCCAGGGCCTCCTGTCCATCTGGCTTAAAGGCCTGCTCTGATCACTTCACCCTGCTCAAAGGAACCAGTGCTGAGTCCTTGCCGAGTGAGCCCAGGGGACGGCTCAGCCTGGCACTGGGGATCTTCCTCCTTCTGCTCCCCTCACATAGTTTGCGTTCCTGGCACACAGAACTGCTGGGGGCAGTTCCTGCCTGGTGCTTGCCCACCACTGTCCTGCCCCAGACTCTTCCCCACCTTCCCCGTGGGTTTTCTGCTCTCCACCTCTGCTGGCAGAATCCTTCCCATTGTCCTTCAATAATTTCAGCACCACCTCAACTGGGGAGCTTTTTCTAATTCCAATGAGATAAACCTTCTCCCTTCTCCATCTCATAAAACCTTTCCTTTCTTGCTGTCTTACAGCAGTTGTGTTCTCTTATCTTCCCTCCTAGAGAGCAAACTCCCGTAGGCAGCAAAACCTCTTCCCCATCTTCGTTGCATCCACTGTGACTAGCACTGCCAGGATACCCTCACCTCTAAGAACCAGTGAGTGCGTAGCTAAGTCTCCTGCCTTCTGTGTTCCTTAATTTCTCCACCTGAGTGAGGATGTTTAAGGTAGGCGTCTTCCAACTCTGTTCTTCTTGATTTTAAGCAATTACAAAGTTTTCTACTCTGCCTCCCAGCCACTGCCTCTGACCTTGTGAACTGACTTCACAAAGTTCTTGATGTCTAATGCTGTTTCTCACCTCACTGTCAAGATACCCAGTGATGCCTGGTGACATTTAATGACATTTGCATCATGGACAAATTATTTCATTAATGCTCGAAAATGTCTCTAATATGTCTCTCATTTGTATTCATGATTATAAGATTTTTAAAAAATGGTATTTGATTTACTTATGACAGCGTGTTTCTCTAACCTTTACATTTTTTTTGAAGTCTCTTTTAAAAAATCAGTAAATAAAAGAAGAAAAAGAAAAAAATTAGCGTACAAGCATTTTCTATTCAAATGATATAATCACAGCTTAGAAAAGAACATTCTCTTGTTGTTTGATGGGAACCTGGGAGGAGATCTATTGTTTATTTTTAAAAACAACCTTTGAAGCTTCTCCTGAGCAGATGACAGCCCTCTGTGTGGCTTCACTAAGCAAAGCTCTGCAAGGTGAATGATCATCTGCGAGGATGCAATTAAGGGCTCATATGAAGGAACAGATCCTGTTTAATGTGTGCAAGCCCTTTGTCCTGCCCCTACCCAGGATGGGAGATCCTGAGTAAGAGAGGGGAGGCTGGACAGGGTGCCTTGGCAATCTTGTCCTCTCCTGGGCTGGTGGTATACCAGTGGTTCATGCACTCCAGTCATAAGAGGAACTTCCTGCACCACATGAAGGATCTTCACGGATTCTGACCTCACCTGAATAGGGGATGAAGCTGCTGGACAGAACTTAGCAACTGGCCCAAACACTTGTAGCTAGGAGGGCTGATGGCACCAGGAGGCTGGCAGCCAGCCATGCCTGGGGAGGTGTGTCGTACAAGGGAGTAAGAGAATTCCTGCCTTAGAGAGAAACGTGCCAAGAGCTGCTAGTGATTCTTGGGCTGGAGACTGGATCAGTGAACCAGGGTCACTAACTGTTGGCGAGAAAGGAAATTCCTGTGGCTGAGGAAATCCAGCCTCCTCCTCCTCCATCTCACGCGCTCCATTCTGAGCATAGGTCAAGGGTCATTTCTTGTTTTACACTTGGCCTTCACTGTAAATGTTAACTGGCTTTTGTCGTCAGTTGTAAAGGCTCGAACACTTGGTTACTGGAGCCTGCGTGTAGTGTCAGAGGAATTCTGTGGCTTCCCAATTCCCCAGCTGAGTGTCCAGGGCGGAACAGAGAAAGGCATTGACAGAGTGAACTCCAGAGCCTCCGCTGGCATCTCCCAGAAAGGATTTATTGGGAGGAGGCATGGCCTGAAAAGGACGTTAGAGATCAAAGTCCAGAGGTTCCCGAACTTCAGGGCATCGGCATCACCTGGTAAGCTTGTTAAACTCTAGACTGCTGGGCTCATCCTCAGGATTTCTAATTCTGCAGGTGTGAGGGTGGGGTGGGCATGAGAATTTACATGGCTAACCAGTTCCCAGGTGCTGCTGATGCTGCTGGTCTGTGGGTCACATTATGGGAGCCACTAATCTAGCCCACTTCTTTAATCTTGTACAGGACAGAAATGAGCATCAGAAAGGCCACGTGACTTGGGGTGACACAGCTAGGGGACAGGAGGGTCAGCCTGTGGACACTAGACCTATTGCTCCACCAAGACACCTTTTAGAGGAAGGAGGCCTGAGGCTGCACACACACCGCATGCACACCACACACACCCTACCACACAGCATGCACACTGCACACACAGTGCACGTACTCTGCGCACACACTGCAGCTGATAGGTCCTGCAGTTGAGTAGGTGCATCTACTCAACTCCAACATCAAAACTAAAATTCCATTTAACACATCCTAAGTTTTATCTTCCTGATGCCACAAATGCAGATACTAGGGAACACTTAATACTTAATTGTTTTCATATCTAGTTTATCAGATTTCTAGGAATCATGTAGACTTGATCCAAGCACTTAAAACGCCCATGATAGAAATCTGTAGCCAGAAAGCACTAGCAGACAGGCATGTGAGCTCCCGGGCTGCATGGATGAGAGCCAAACCTACTGGATTTTCAGAGACATATCTGAAAATGAATGAAGTGAGATAATAATTGTAGTCACTATTATTTACTGGGCATAATCATCTAATTAGCCATCACAGCAACCTACAAGATAGGCTTTGTTATCTCATTTTACAGATAAAGAAACAGAAACACACTAAGATCATGTAACTTGAGCACAGCACACACAGGTGCGAGTGGAAGTCAGAGCCAGGCTGGTTCTTCCACTCTACTCCACTGGTCAAGGGCATGGACACTGACCACGGATCTTCCATCTTACAAGGTCCGTGACAGACCAGAGAGTTGTGTGGAGGGTCTGACCAGCACCGTCTATTTCAGGTCTTGTGTTCTGTTACATTAGACTTTTTTTTGAGACGGAGTCTTACCAAGTCACGCTCGGTAGAGTGCCATGGAATCATAGTTCACAGCAACCTCAAACTCTTGAGCTTAAGTGATTCTCTTGCCTCAGCCTCCCAAGTAGCTGGGACTACAGGTTTCAGGGTGCTGCCCTGCGTTAGACTCTTGATGCAGCTGGGTCTCTTGATATGTCCTTGGAAGCCATAGGTGCCACCCTTAGGCTACAAGGGACTTCCTCCCTCTGATGGGCCAGAAGGGTAACATTTGCAGAACAGCCGGCCCCCAGTTGGGTCCTCCTCATTCTGGGGCTCGTTTCCAGTTTTCCCAGCACTTGGGGCCCCTGCTCCTGGCAGCCTCAGAACGAGGAACTTTGGAGAGGCAGGTGCCCCTCAGGCGCTTACCTCAGCGTGGCCAGGATAGAAAGCTGCTCCCTTGGAAAGCTGTTATTGGGTCCAGACGCTGAGCTGAGCTTGGGTCCAGCATGCCATCTAGCCCCCTGGACTGCACGACCACGGGCCAAAACTC